AGAAGAAAAGATAAAACTTTTTTTTTTCTATTTGTTATTAACAATAAAATAAGTATAAAGTGTAAAATCTGATTTGAATTTTTGTTGCAAATTTTGTTTTAATCTAACAAATATTTTGTTTGGTAAACAACAGAAAAAAAAAAACATATTTTTTAGAAAGAATAACAGATCAAAAATTTAATGAGAATTTTTGTTTAGAAACTTTCTGTTCTTCTGCTTTTTCTTCTTCATTTTAAGCTTTCAATCTTATCTTAAGGCTGTTAACCGTTTGAAAAGACTAATTTTTTAAACTTTTTCGAACAGATAACTTCAGTGAAAGTGTCAAAAATTTTAAGCAAACCAAAATAAATATAATTGTTGTATAGGGAGGACGTTTGTTGGTAAACAGTGCACTGAAATTGCAGGTTGTAAGATGATTTTTGAAAATTTTTGATAGAATACTGATATCAATGATTATATCAACAGATGGAAGGCTGAAAAGTTGTGCAAGGAACTAAACAAAATTCTTAACAGCAATATAATTTTGAAAATGATCATTTGCTGGTTTCAATTTTTTACTGACAGTCTTATAAATTGAAAAATAAGCATTACTCGAACGAATATAAGTTGCTAAATTTTCAAATTAAAACAGGAGGAGAAGTTACACCATAAAAAGTGTAATTTATAGTACTTTTGAAGTCTAAATTGCTTTACTTGCAGCAACAACACTAAGCAGAAATTTGAAAAGCTCATATTCGTGTTTTTTTAGTTTGAATTTTTAAAATAATGTTAATTTGCAGTGTTATCAATAAATTTGTTAACATTATTGGTATTAATTAGTGACTGTATTTTTTTTTTTTTTTTTTTTTACAATTAACATTGATAACATTTCTGTAGACGACATCAACGATAAACACCGCCACAGTGGCCAATTTTTGACAGACAAAAATATTGATATTTCAACTTTTTATGTTTTCATTTGTACACCAAATTTTGGTGTAGTAATTAATTGTTCAGCTGTCAGTTATTTAGGTTGCAAGTTCGTTATTCTTACTGTAATTAAAAAAGTATCAGTTTTATCAAAATGGCATTATTTTGAAAAGTCAACCAAATAATTTGATTACTGAAATTTTTATTCAAAACAGAGCAAAAAAAACAGTTATATGTAGCTGAGATGACAATAACCAATAACTTTTAAATTGCACTTCGAGTAACCACACAAGAATTATCACCTCCATCATCAACGTCAACCGTATCCGTCATCACCATCACTGTCATCATCACCATCACCATCATCATAACCATAACCATAACTATAACCATAACCATAACCATAGTCATGATCATTATCATTATAATTATAAACTATAATCATAACCAGCAGCATCACAACCACCATCATCGTCATCACCAAAGATCACCAAACATCACTGACCTTGGCAGGAGATAGAAGAAAAAAGAAAAAATTTTCAAATATTTCAAATGACAGTTTTGAAAAACTGAAGAAACCAGACAGAAAAAAAAAAAAAAACAGCAGAACAAAAAAAGAACAAAATTTATAATTTGTGTTGTTTTGCAAATATGTTTGTTGTTGTTGTTATTCTTCTTCTTCTTCTTCTTCTAAATTTTTGTTTATCAGTTTTTTCAACCAACAATTTTTATGATTTCAGAACTTGCTGTCAATTTTTTTTTCTTTTTTTTTTTTT